AATAATTTACACGCCCAATTTCATAGATTACATAAACTTTATACCAAACCAACATGCGTTATTCTTCAGAACACTAGCCATGATCCCCTTCCCCAAATTATTCTGAAATTCATCTGGGAAAATGTGAGAAGAACCCAGCACTTCTTCAATGATGTAAGAACATGCAGAAAGAAGGCTGTTAGCATTTGTGTGCCTGCAATCATGGGACTATCTAGTCCTGTGCTGTCCGGGGTGGTTGTCTCAAGCCACCTGTGACTACTGAGCACCTGAGCTGGTTAATCTGAACAGAAAGCTGGAAGTGGGACATATGCACACCAATTTCAAAAACTGAGTAAAGTAACTCATTAATATTTTTAATGTCCATTACATATTGAAATGAGATAGAGGGTCACACTATTATTAATTCCAGCTGCTTCTTTTTTCTTTGTATTATGGCTCCTAGGAACATTTAAATTACACTGGAGGCTCTTGTATTTCCATTGGACAGCGCTGGTCTAGAAATACCCCGATTCTCCATCTTCCTGCCCAAATGTGTCCACATTTCCCAATGGAGACTATGCTTTCCTTTAAGACCAGCATCATCCATTAGAAGGCTCACCCTGTTGGCCTTGATGCTACAGGTGTTTTCTGATCTGGTTTACATTACTAAGATTTTAATTTTTTATATAAGCAAAATGACTGATCTCTCCTGTTGTAATGTTTTGGTTTTTTTCATGCAAAGTTTCAAAACTTTCCCATGAGCCGATCATTTACCCACAGTGGCGTTTATCTGGGGAGACGGGACAAGCACCATCCTCCTCCGCAGCTTCAGAGGAACCATGGCTGAGGGAACCTTGCAAGAGGCAAAGCCTCAGCTCAGCTCCTTCCAAAACCCACTTTCCACCTCCAGGACAGTCTGCCTTGCTGGGTTGTCGTGAGGACCAAGTCTACCTATAAACAGCAGTGTCCGAAACAGTGAGCACTTCATAACTCTGGCTACTAACTTGTTTTATCCTAAGCCTGTGATGGTTAGAAATACCGCTATGTGGCATAACTGAGGCTGTATGAGGTATACCAGCACCCTAGAACCAGCCCCCCCCTACCCATTTCTCCCCTTCCTGAGGGGAGGCCGCTTACACAAGTATCTGAAGGGAGAACAGGCTGAGAACTTGAGCCTCCTCGGGCCAGCATCCCACATCCCTCCGGCAGCCCAGGCTACCAACTTCTCTCCAGCAATGGCTTTTCCCAGGAGTTTTCAAACACACTTAAGCTGTCCCCTGGGTGATGCACAGGTAATTGATTCAAAGAACAAGTCTAAAAAGTACGTGCCAAAATGGTGAGCTGGACCTCTAGAAATCTGTTCCTCTGTAAAAGTGACCAGGTTGTCCTAGCCGGTTTGGTTCAGCGGATAGACTGAAAGGTCCCGGGTTTGATTCCAGTCAAGGCAGGTACCTCAGTTACAGCTCCCAGTCCTGGTTGGGGGCATGTGAGAGGCAACCAACTGATGTGTCTCTCTCCCCTTGGTGTTTCTATCTCTCCCTCTCCCTTCTACTCTCCAAAAATCAATGGAAAAATATCCTTTTCATGCAAAGTTTCAAAACTTTCCCATGAGCCGATCATTTACCCACAGTGGCATTTATCTGGGGAGACGGGACAAGCACCATCCTCCTCCGCAGCTTCAGAGGAACCATGGCTGAGGGAACCTTGCAAGGGGCAAAGCCTCAGCTCAGCTCCTTCCAAAACCCACTTTCCACCTCCAGGACAGTCTGCCTGTGGATTAAGAAGATTAAAAAAAAAAAAAAAAAGCGACAAGATTACTGGCAAAATGGTCAAAATCAACTTTTCTAGAACCATAGAAAGTAATCAAAGGCCCACACAATCGGAGAAGTGTTTTTTCAGAGTACAGGCCTTCAGCAACCTCCAGCATGTTCAATAAACCGTCCCCGAAGGCTCAAATGAAAGAAGCTGAGACACATGGCAGCCCACCTCCTGTGCCCACTGCTTTCCCCTCTCCGTGGGGCCTTTATCCAGGGGTGCCGACTCCATTGCTTGTCACCCTGGAGACATTCCAGAGGAAGCCCCTGGCTTTGGTCTCTGTTCATCCACACCCTCCCCCCGCCCATCTTCCTCCCTGCACCCAAACTGTGTGGTTCCATTAAAATCCCTCGATGGCTCCCGAATATAAGTCCAAATCTGCACACCAGGCTTTACAAGCTCTCCCCAAACTAGCTTGAGGTCTCCCATATTTCCTCGCTGCTCTAGTGGTGAGGGCTGCACAGAAAAGGCCAAGGCCTGCTGTAACATGATTTGGCTGAAGCACTCCGATCTCAGCTGGGGCTGGGAGCTCATTCGGCCATTCTGCACGGCAGGACCAGGTCCATGATTTCACCTCATTGGCACCATTCACCACCTCTTCCTCAGAGGAGGGAAACTGGTTTTAACCATGGGTTATCGAAGCTGTGCAGAGTTCCTTCAGTGTGAAGGGCCCTGGGGCTATATCAGCTCCCCGGAGACCCCAGGGGCCTGAGCCTGCCTTTGAGGAGGGACTAGTAAGTCAAGATTTATCATCTGTTCTCGACATGTATGTATATTTTATATCATTCTTAGCACTACATGGTAATAACTTAGTAGACCTTTAAGAATGTATAATCAGCCAAAGCCGGTTTGGCTCAGTGGTAGAGTGTCGGTCTGCGGACTGAAAGGTCCCAGGTTCGATTCCGGTCGAGGGCACGTACATTGGTTGCGGGCACATCACCAGTAGGGGGTGTGCAAGAGGCAGCTGGTCGATGTTTCTCTCTCTTCGACGTTTCTAGCTATCTCTCTCTCTTCCTCTCTGTAAAAAAATCAATAAAATATATATTTTTTAAAAAATGTATAATCAGCCCTGGCTGGTGTGTCTCAGTGGTTAGAGCATCAGCCTACACATAGATGGATTGCGAGTTTGATTCCCAGTCAAGGGCATACACTAGGGTTGCGAGTATGCTTCCCTTCCACCCCCACCTCAGCCCCCACTCCCTGTCAGGGAACATGTGGGAAACAACCCGTTGCTCTCTCTCTCTTACACTGATCTCTCTCTCTCTGCCCTCCTCCTGCCCTCCCTTTCTTCCTCCCTCCCTCCCACTCTTTGAAAAGCAATGGAAAAAGTATCCTCTAGTGTGGATTAACAAAAGAAGAAAAGGAGAAAAAAAGCATAACCAAAGAATTCTGGAAACCAGCACTTTAAACTCAAACTCGGCTGTTTGAGATACTCACTGGGGAAGCCAAAGGACGCTTGCTGCCACCTTGTGGGGCATGGAGGGAAAAGGTCAGGTGGAAATTTCTGGCTAACCTGTCTTCAAAGAACCATAGCTCTCCAGCCCACCACCCTGCAACCACCCTCTTTACTCCCCAACCTTTTTCACCATGGAACAAATGAACTCAAAGCTCTAGGGTATACAATTCAAGATTTATATAAGCTTAAGTTACTTATTTAAAATTGCACAACGCAGGAGAACAGTTTAAAAAATAATCAAACACACCACTGCAAGGTAATTCAATGAGCTGTTTTTTTGTTTTTTTTTTGTGTGTTTTTTTTTAAACAAATTTGTACAGAAAAAAAAAAATCCCCGGATCACAATCTGTATCATACAGTCACCCTGTTCAGTGTTCGGGGCACCACGGGAGCCCCAACGGAGGAGCTGATGGGAAGCTGGACTGCGGAAGTGGAAAAACTTTTGAGTTCCCTTTGTTCTCCAGTGTATCTTGTATAAAATATTACATTTTTAAACACATATTTACATTGTTTGCACAAATAGAAAATGGTTACAAATCACAACCAGGGTTGGCCAGGTAACAAACACTTCCCTTCTCCCAAGGACCAAGGCCAGAGAGAGGTCTGATTGCTTTGTATTTACATATGCATTAAAAAGTCTGCCTTCTTAGACACGTAGGTGAAGTTTATAAAAACTGGGTTAACATCATAAATTCATTTATGTCAGCTGTACAAATAATCAATACCAATTAGTCAGTTCATGGCCTGCTCCCTGAAGATAGATTTTGAAGCAAAAGAAACCCTCTCAAACAAGCAACACATCCCTTGGCCTGTCTGCTCCAATCAGTTTGGCTTGGGGGTGAGGGGGAGTGGGAAGGAAGAGGAGAGGAATGGGGGAGGGGGGGAGGAGAGGAATGGGGGAGGGGGGAGTGGGAAGGAAGAGGAGAGGAATGGGGGAGGGGGGGAGGAGAGGAATGGGGGAGGGGGAGTGGGAAGGAAGGAGAGGAATGGGGGAGGGGGAGGGGAGAGAAGAGGAATGGGGGAGGGGGAGTGGGAAGGAAGAGGAGAGGAATGGGGGAGGGGGGAGTGGGAAGGAAGAGGAGAGGAATGGGGGAGGGGGAGGGGGGAGAAGAGGAATGGGGGAGGGGGAGTGGGAAGGAAGAGGAGAGGAATGGGGGAGGGGGAGGGGGGAGAAGAGGAATGGGGGAGGGGGAGTGGGAAGGAAGAGGAGAGGAATGGGGGAGGGGGAGGGGGGAGAAGAGGAATGGGGGAGGGGGAGTGGGAAGGAAGAGGAGAGGAATGGGGGAGGGGGAGGGGGGAGAAGAGGAATGGGGGAGGGGGAGTGGGAAGGAAGAGGAGAGGAATGGGGGAGGGGGAGGGGGGAGAAGAGGAATGGGGGAGGGGGAGTGGGAAGGAAGAGGAGAGGAATGGGGGAGGGGGGAGGGAAAGGAAGAGAGGAATGGGGAGGGGGGAGAATGGGATAACTGGTTGAAACAGTTTTCCTTCCACATGTTTTTTTAACAGCTTAGAACCAGGTTAACCCGACTGGCCTGTTAAACACCATCCTATGGCTTTAAAAAGAACCCACAGCTCCTTCCTTGTCTCAGAGACAAAACACCTTTCTCAACATGACTACCGTATAATATTTTTTTAAAGAAAAAAAAAGGACTGTCTGAGGAAGACAACATTTGTTATTCTGATGTAAAGTCTTTGCCTTGAGTGTGAAGCCCATTTCAGCAGTGCAAAAAAGACTCGAGCGGCTGCGGCAGGGTCAGAGGCTTGTGTAGTAGCTGTCTACCCACTGAGCAAGTCCTCGCTCCACCAGCGACCGGTTTATCAACACCACCTGGAAAAGAAAGTCCCCTTGAAACCTCTGCCCCCGGCACCCAGGGGCCATGTCTCAAGCCAGCACCATGCTCCCTCTTACAGGCAACACGTGCACTAGTCATGGCGGTGGGGTGTGACTCCTTTTCTGGGCCAATGGGGGTGTTTACTTCTGTATTCTACTGGCATGAGAACAGGCTTTCCAAAGCATTGAGAGACCTAAGCTTTAATACCATGTGATGAGGAGAGGAAAACGCGATGGGCAGAAGGTCTAGCAAGGCCCACAGACATTTTGGGCCAAATAATTCTGAGTGGGAGCTCTCCTGTGCACTGTAAAATGTTTAGCAGCATCCCTGCTCTTGACCCACTCCCAACTGTGTCAACCACCAAGGTCTCCAAACATCGCTAAATGCCCCTGGGAGACCCTGGTCTGTAGTTACATCCTCTGACTAGCTCCATGTTGATCATCACTGCTGGCCAGTAATGCAGGGAAATAGGACAGAACTTACTTCATCTCCTACCACGCTCCACAGCTGGATCAAAGGAATGCCAGTCGGACTGTAATTCGTCACCTGAAAACAAACAGAAAAACGAGTCTGTTTCGAAGTGACCCCATGTGCCTCTCTGTGAAGACAGCTAGAGCCCAGGGCAGGAACCACAGGAAGGCAGGCAACTGAAAGGTCGGCTCTCAGGAGGCCCAGATGCTGGATGAGTGAGGCCGGTGGGCTCTGCAGAAGCTGGGCGGTTCCTCAGACAGAGCCTGCGCGGCCTGCCCCGCGCCGCCCCCTCCCCCCCAATGCCCCACCAGCCACACACCTGAGCCAGCAGTGCAGTGTTTCCAGTCATCTCGCTCACAGCTGCATCCGCCTCGGGTGAGAAGTGCTCATCGTCTTTAGAGGGAAAAGCAGCATTTAGACTCTCACTGAGGCCAGGTGCTCTTGTCACCTACACACTTCTAAGTGTGTTCCAAATAAAAGGCCTCACATACTGCCACGGAGCCTGAGGCCTTCTGGTGTCAAGAAAGCCCAGGTCTCTATACACACTCAGGGTCCCTGCTAGGTGCTACCCACATACAGAGGACCAGATGGACAGGAACTCTGCCTTCAATGGAAACATCACCACCGCCGCTTATCTGGGGGCTGACCGGGCTGAACATGTTGGATACGTTCTTCCATTGGATCAGTTAACACCTTACGAGATGGCAGGTGCTACCCTACTTTATAGGTGGGAACATGGAAGACAAAGGCAGAAGGTCAACCAGCTCTGAGAGTGGTGCAGGTGGAATTCAAACCCAGGCAGTGGCCACGCAGCCCAATACAGGCAGTAACTATAGAACAGCAGGCAGAATCTGAGGTAGCTTTCTTCGTCAGATTATAGAAGTTACATGCAAGAACACACCCAAGGCAAGAGATGGTGAGGAAGTGAGAGGCAGGTTTACAAAGGTCTGGGAATATCTTATGGAGGAGGGAGCCTTTCGGCTGGGCCTGGATAAGTCCTGAGACGGACAGAAATGGAGAAGGCGGCTGGGCGTGGGCAAAGTAATAAAGAGAAATAAAACTGAAGACCCTGCTCAGCATTCTGGCCAACAAGACCACAGCCAGACTGTAGTGCTTCTAAAGCATTTCATTGCTTTAAACAAGAACAAGATTAGATGGGGCAAACCTGGAAGGGAGGAGCATAAAATCAAGGGACTAGTAAATATAAAACTCCTGGTCATACGTAGCTGCTACCTGACCAGAGTCCACATCTCAGTTTCTAGATTCATGTAATTTCCTTGGCCACTCTGAAAACCAAGTAAAGCCCCATTTTCCAGAGAAGGGACGAAGAAATCGAGACTAAGTAACTTGCCCAGGATCACACTGCCAGTCCCCTTCCCTCAGGCAATGTGATCAAAGACACCACAGGGGACAGGTGTGTGGCAGTGTGATCCTCACAGTGCCCGCAGAAACTGAGGCCCAGCTGAGGAGTGCCAATGGCCTCAATGCCTGTCCTCAACCTCAGGTGCCAGGACTCTGGGTCTGGACTGCATCTGGAAGGCATCTGCAGCAGAAGCCTCTCTAAGCTGGAGGCCCAGGTAAAGTCTAGAGCAGTGGACCTGGAAGGGTGGTCCATGGACCAGCAGTATTAGTCTCACCTGAGAATTCAGAAATACAAGCACTGAGGTCTTGGCCCAAAGCTATCAATCGATCAGAAACTGACAGTGCCAGCAATCCATGTTCGCATAAGCACTCCAGGTGAAAATGAGGCTCTCAAATTAAAAGACCTACTCGCAACTGCGGCTCCCCTCCCCCACACACACACACACACCCGCACACAAACACACCCTGCCAGAAGCCCACACCTGTTACCTGACAGGGGCATCACGCTATCCAGAAGGACTTCTGCTCCCTGGAAAGGCAGGGTCACAAAGTCAGACCTAGAGCAACAAGAAAGGAACACGTTAAGCATGTCCCTGAAGGCTGACTCCACTCCAGGCTGGTAGTTATCCTGTTAGTGCCATGAGCCCAGCCACCCAGGGGGAAGCAGAGCAGATACTCATGATGGGCAACAGATACCTATGATGGCTCAGCCCCCACACACCTGAATGCAGGCTGCCAGTTCTGCCACAAGCCTGACCTCAGAGGCTCTTCTTGCATCAAGCTCCTAAAAAGAAGCTGCTTTGCTTTTGCCATATGATACTCAGGGAAATTCTTCTAGATAGGCCTACCTGGTTTAGTTTGGCTGAGGTGAGCAATGGAGTTTGTTTATATCAGACTGCTAAAGCAGAGCAGATAGCAAGAAAAAGTAACCCGTGTCCCAGGCTTAGTAGAACTGAGCCAACCAACAGAAATCCGTTCCCTCCTAAGCAGGGTGTGTGCCTGAGCAAGGAGCCTGGACTCACCGGATTTGCCGGAGCACGTCTACTTTCACTCTCTTATATCCCCCGTAGTCCACATAGCGAATTTCAACTTCGTTTGTGTCCTCGTAGGAGGCCACCACTTGTGCTCGCCACCAAGCACCATCCGCACCAGGGGCTGCACAGATGACTGTTACTGCAGGAAAGAAGAGAGCTGTGGGCAAGCATGGCCAAGGCCAGGGCACCAAGGGCTGCCCAGTCAATGCTACCCGCCTGCCCACATTCCTTCCCAGAGGCCTGCCCTTCCAAGTACCAGGGAACCTGAAGAGCAAGGAGTCCCTGAAGCCTCCCCAGAGCCTAAGACTGGCCTACAAAAGCACCTGGACGTGGGACATTCAGCCTAGCAGGGTGCCATCCAAAAATCATCCAGACCAAAAGCATTCACCTACATCCATGTACTCTGAAACTTACTGGAGCCTCACATGGACACAGATGAACCAGAATAAAAAGCGAAATACAGCCCTGCCAGTGTGGCTCAGCGATTGAGCATCGACCTATGAACCAGGAGGTCACAGTTTGATTCCCAGTCAGGGCATATGCCCCAGCTGTGGGCTCGATCCCCAGTGTGGGAAATGCAGAAGGCAGCTCATCAATGGTTCTCTCTCATCATTGATGTTTCTATCTCTCTCTTCCTCTCCCATCCTCTCTGAAATCAACAGAAATATATTTTAAGAAAAACAAAACAAAAACGCCACTCCACACCATGGCTCCATCAGCCAGTACAAACAGCAGCTTGTGCTAGCCAAGCAACTGAGCCTACAGCATGAAGTCAGAAATGCTGGTCCATGAAGGATCCAAGGAGAAGAATAAGCCACCCCAAAAACTTCCCTGGCCTGGCTCCTGCAGTACTTACTTTCTACCGGGGTGGGCAAGGTGGGGATTCCAGGCTGAGAGTAGCAGAGGTACATCTGCTGGTCCAGGCTGCGCAGTGCATGGAAGGTAGGGTGCGTGTGTTGCTGCACAAACAGGTGCCCTGCATTGACCTGGTTGACCACGATCACTTCCACAGTGATGCCATCTGGGAGCATGAGCTGAGGAGAGGAGAGGGGTGGCAGGCACTTCAGTAATCCTTCTCATGTTTAGGTTAAGCCATGAGGTCCCAGGACAAGTCTCTGAACTGGCATCTCTTTGAAAAAAGCATGGCAATCCAAAGCACATGGCACACAGCTGGCAGGGGTTCGAGGAAAACTACTTGAGCATGCAAGTGCTTAGACACCACTATGGCTCTTGTCCTACTGTGCCATGAATAACCACTAGAGGCGACCTCACACAGGGCTGGGCAGGGAGGCTCCCAGGAGCAGGCTCTGGAGGCTGTGCTAGGCTTCCCCATAACTGACCAAGGTCCATGGACCAAAGCTTCCCCAGCCCCCACCTCTAGCATTCTTGAATCTCTAAGACCCCAGGAAGGCCAAAGGGAATGAGGCAGCCACTGAGAGCAAGGTGTCAAGGTGGATAGGCTCTCAGGCCCCGCAGCTAGCTCCTCTGGGCCTGCAGCTGACCCCAGGAGCTTATGGTTTGACAGCATCTCTCTATGCTACCTTTCTGTCAACAAGAGTCCACTGTCAAAGTCTGCAACAGTCTGAGTCATATTTGCTCTTCTCTAGGCTCCACAGACATCCTCCCAACTCATTCCCACGCTGGGATTTAGAAGGTAGGTTTGTTCCGTGGCCAGGCCCCACCTTAAAGGCCCTGAAGAGGCCAAGACTAGTCTCTGAAAGAACTGTCCACACATACTAGCTTTCCCGATGCTAAGCTACAGAAACCATCCTGTGCTGTGGACACAGCAGCGCATCTGGTCCATCCTCCACCCAGGAGTCTCGACTGAGAGTCCTGACCTCCACCCCTCCAGTCCCACTGAGCCACCCAGAGAACAAGGGAAGGAAGCCACACCAACCACTCAACTATCTAAAAATAAAGAGTGGGTCTGGGGCCAAGCCTCCTAAGGAAAACACTGATTCAGAAGTCAAGGGTGGAGTGAGTTCAGCCCACTCCCAAATATCCATGGGAAAGGAAAAGGGCAGCACACTTCTCCCAAGGCACAAGGGTCTCTGGAGGGGGCAAGATACAGAACCAAGAAGTCCACTGTCCGAAACAAAAGCCAGGCAGGAAATTTTCTTGAGGCAGCTCATGTGTGAAATGCAGTCCAGCTACGTGCGTCACAGTGACGGGCTGGTCAGTGAGAACTGTATAGACGATGCTGGTGTCTCACACAGCCCAGGTGTAGCAGGCTGTACCATCTAGGTTTGTGTGGTTATAACTCCGTGTTCACGCCAACAACAATAACACACCTTTCTCGGACAAATCCCTGTCACTAGGTGGCACACGACTGTAGCCTCAGTAAGATGAGGCCCATATAGGGGGGAGGTACACTGTAGGACATGAGTGACAAGCCCCAGAGACTCTTCAATTGCCCAGGACACAGGGACCCTTGAGATGTCAGCTACTTTTCTTGCCCAACTCTCAGGGCAACCTCCAAAGAGCCACATGGCTTCCTGGGCCTGGGGGGTGAGGGGGATTACTGCTTCTCCTTTATACTCTAGGTACCTCCTGGGAAGCGGGATGGGACTCCTTCATCGGGGCCACCGCTAGATTTGCCTTACCTAAGGGAAAGCCCATCTTGAGCCCTCAGCAGGGGCCTCATCCAGACACTGCTCCAGCTTCAAGGAGTTCCACACCAGCCTGGACCCGCCTAGTCTCCTGGGTGGACTACAGTCCTTTCTAGGCAAATGCCTTGAACATAAAGGGTGCCCAGGTGGCAGAGCCTGGGGAGAGTGGTCCTTCCAATCAGGGACTAAGAGGCCCCTGGCTAAGAGGCAACTCCAGCTCCTAAGCCTTCCCAATAGGACACAGGCTAGAAGCAGAACAGACCAATCAATGGAGGCTAGAAATGAGAGGGCAGAGGCATCAAGGAGCTCTTGGCCATGGTCTTGGAAGTTTCTTGTTGGGGGAAAGGGATGCAAGAAGTCCTGGTCCCCCAGGAGCATGCTCACCCAGGAAGTCATTGGAAGAGAAGGCAGTGCCAGCGAAGGCAGGGGGGGAGCATAAATATTGGTGAGGTTCAGTTCCTTGAACTTCTTCCCAATCAAGTTCAGCGCCTTGTCTACATGATGCTGAGAGCCTAAGAGAAGGAGGAAGGAGGAGTCACAGCAGGTAAGACAAACAAAGCAAAACCACCCCCCGTTCCACAGGAATTCTCCTAGAGTTCACGTGTGCCTTTAAGGTGTTAACTTTTGCCTCAGAAAAAAGGCAGATAAAGGGCTTGAAAGCCACTGACCTTCTATGTGGCAGATCTGGACATTCTGGGTGTAAGGCAGGGCGGAGATGTAGATCTTGGCACCAGATGTTTGCTTCAAAAAACTCACATACCGCCCCTGCTTGCCAATTAGCCGACCGACTAAGTGCTGAGAAAAAGAGTTAGTTAATGGGAAACCAATTCCTCCAAAACCACTTCCAAAGACCTACCTTTGTTTTTCACAAGGTCAAACTCAAACATATTATCTGTTAACATGTCAGCACTCCTTTCCCTGGCACTATTCTAAGCACTTGCATTTACTCACAATACCAATGAAATGGATACCTTTTTAATCTCCATTTTACAGATGAGGAAAACAAGCCCAGAGAGGCTAAGTGACTCACCCAACATCACACAGCTACTAAACAGCTGCATTGCAAGTCTGGCTCCAGGACTCAGCAGTTCCCATTGCATCCCCGACAATGTGGTCTGAATCCAGAAAGCTGCAAAGGCAGCATTTTCTTCTTCCAGATCCAGACTAAGAGATGTTTCAGCACAAGGGTGCATTTACAACTCTTCCACCTCCTTAGGTCTACTCAGGACCAAAGAAAAAGAGTCTCGATTTGAAAATAAAGGTCTAAGAAAGATCCTTTGGGCTCCTGCTGCCAACTGACAGCAGGCTGGCGCCTTCAGAGCCTGTAGCTCACCGAATGCGCAGCATACCAGAGTTCAAGGCAGAAACAAGCAGGCAAACTTAGCCATGACATAAGAAGCTCTGAATCACTCCCAAACGACCCCACCCCCATGGAGCTACTAGGGGCCTGGTCCTTCAGCACCAAGAGCTGCTCTGGTATGCCTTTTGCAGCCAATGAAGGAGAAGAGGGCACGGTGGTTATCAGAATCATTGGGGGAGCAAACAACCAAGAGAGCCAGTACCATGAGTTGAGCTGCCCGTCTGACCCCGAGTTCAAAGCCAGCAAAGTCTCCACATGGCAGGAAGCTACATGCCCCCGGAAAATGAACTGGGTCAATTATTTCTAAGCCCCAGAGATAAACATCAAGACTGAGCTAGTAAGTTATAAATCAGAATAGCAAGAAGCTAGAAACCACTTAAGCACCCCGGAATTGGGGAGTAGTGAAGTAAATTGACATTCACACAATGAATAATGCAGTTAAAATTTCATTTTCAAAGAGTAGCACAGAAAAATTAAATTGTTAAATATTTAAAAGCATTAATTAAAGCAACATAATCTCAGTTGTATTTAAAAACCACAGGGCACAAACAAGATGAGAAGGAAATAAGCCTTCCCAGTCATTCTCGGGGGTAGGATTAGGGCTGATTGTTTTTTTTATACATTTCTATACTTCTCAAGTTTTCTAAAATATGGATTTATGCTGTTCTCTATTACAAAATACTTTGCAGTGGAAAGCTTGGGCAGAGCACAGTAAAGGACTCCTTGCTAGCCCATGTCCTCTACCTGTTTTTGCTAGCCATCTCCAAGCAGATCGGAGCCCCGAGACACAAAAAAAAACCCAAAAAACAAAAAAAACCCATGGGAGGTTAGAGGCCTGGAGTTAAGAGAGGATAAGAATAGGATACTCACAAGGCAGCTGGAGAAATTCCATCTTGCAGGAAGTTCTTTGAACTGTGGCAAAACAGCACTCCCTTTCCCCTAAGCCTTGGGCTCAGCTGCCACTCCAGGTTGACTGTCCCTCCCATGAACCACACACCCAAGCCCAAGGAACCTGGGAACTTTGAGCTTGCAACCCTTACCTTTGGCACCTCAATCTCCCAGATGATGAGGTCGACCTTCTTAGGATTAGAGCCTGCCTGGGCATTCTGGAAACCGTCAGTCTTCCTGGGTCCACAGCAGCCGTCCACTGAATCCATGCTGTTCCCGTCCGAGCCTGCAGGGGAGGAAGCAGCATGCACAGACACCCAGACACCAGCTCAGAGCAATTAATAACGCACAACTCCCAAACTCACATTCCTGGGAGGCCCAAGGCCCCCATCCCCCATCCCTTCCTCAAGCTTGGCAGGTGACTGTCAACTGGAAGTCTAGAAGGCTCAGTACAACCCCAATGAAAGGAGGGCTGGGGGTGTAGATACACCTAATTTTAGCTTGTCATTTACGGTCCAACTTGCTTAATTGGCAGCCACACCCAGCCACAGCTGCTGGAGCAGACAAGTGGTGAACTGGGGAGAAAGACACTGGCTCAGGAAAGGGGGAGTCCTGAGGGTGGGGGAAGGGATGGGCCAACAGCTTCACATGTTTCCAGGAGCCAGATATTAGATGCAGGCCTCCCCAGAGACCAACTGGTCACAGCCAGTCCACACCCTTCTGAAAATGCCAGCCCCTCAGACCAAGGGTCCCTAAGTCCCAAGGCCCCTGGCCTAGTCTCACAGTCAGTGGCCTTTAGCCAAGTAAAGCTAGAAAAACTCCCCTGTGGCTGGTATGTCTGAAGGCCCCATTCTTATTCCCTATAAAAGCCCTCCAAAAGTGGACACAGAAATAAGGCCCTCCTTTTCCCCTGCTTAGGCCTGACTTGTGCGACTCTGAATGCTCTTCTGAGCTCATGGCGGGTCTCTAATGCCCTTGTTCAAAGACTGAACTAAAGTTCACTCCCAAGAGGAGAGGGTGGGCAGCAGGAGCCTAGCATTGACTTGGGCTGCTCCACTCTTGACCAACAGTATGCCAAAGGGACCATCAAAGAAAAACAGAGGGCCGACCTCACTTAAGTGGCTCTCATTTAAATATGGACAACTCTATTGCCAGAAATAGAGGACCCCTGAGATTCTACTAATTAGGTTATCTTGCACTGGTTTCTCCAGACCCCGGGCATAATCCCATGTACTGTCTGAATGCAAAGGAGTAAAGCTTAGGAGATTCACTCCCAGCTAAGTCACCATCAAACTGACCTCGTCCTCCCTTAACACAGGGTGGGGAAGGTGATGGGCCAACAGGTCCACATGGCCCCTGGAGCCAGATAGTAGATGCAGGCCTACCTGGAGAACAATTGGTCACAGCCAGTCCATACCCTTCTGATAATGCCAGCCACAGGCTCTACCTGACAGAGCAGGACTGGATAGTACCTTCCACCCCATAACACTCAGAGGTGGCTCAGACCACGCCAGGATTCTAGCAGGCTTCACTCAAAGGCCAGCTTACATCTTTCTCACGCACAAGGCAGGGCTACCATGCGAATGGGGGTGGGTCGGTAAGACACAGCCTGGTACTTGGCACAACTGAGTACTCAGTGATTGGCACTACCAGGCTTTTATCTACCATCGACAACATCCCCACACATCACCATGCTAAGTCATAGCCTCCTCTTCCACGAGGCCTAAACTTGGAAGCCTTCTGCATAGCTGTTATCAATCTAGAATTGGCATGACAAGGCCAGAGGCTTGTTAATTAACCTGAGGGGCAAGAGGCAAAGGTAAACCCCTTTATTCTTAAGACTTTCCACCCATTTTAAAATGCCTTGAAAAACAAACAAACAACTTTTAACATCCCTAAAGTTAGAATGCATCTTACAGTCTCTGGCCTTCCAAATTCATGATCCGCAGCATTTTGATTTTTTTCCAAGGTACATAAAAAACAGTAGTGTCATAATCAATAGCACCCCAGAGGTGGTAAAATGTTATGTGTGGTACACTCCTGAATTCCAAAGAAAGAGTCCCAACCTGCCTCAAGGTGAAATGATAGGAAAAGGTTTCAGGGCAAGACAGAGACCCTGAGGGGAATGCCTCTTCCCAAGAGATCAATGAAAATGCCCCAGGGTGGATGAAAAAACAGGGTCAGGAGCTGCTGACCTGGAAGTTAGCGGTCTGAACTGTCTACGCTGGGGTCAGCACTCGAAAAACCCAGTGGGCACTTCATTACCCGAGTGCCCTTCTTTCCTGGGGATGGACCTGCAGCTGCACAGAAAGAAAATGGCTGAGGCGTTCTGCACAGAGTGACAACAGCACGCAGCAGAGTGCGAGCCTCCCACAAGTATGTAAAGCTGGGGCCAGTCACTGGGCACTTACCAGGAAAGAGCTTCTGGAGAAGGAAAGCAGGTGAAGACATGGGAACAAGCACAAGGTTAAAAGGAAATAAACCATTTTTAAAAAGCTCACACCTACTCTCAGTACTCAAGGGAATTAAAGCTAAGGAGGACTTTCTCCATTAAAAAATAAGACAAAAAAACATTAACAAGTTAGGGTTTAAAAGAGAAAAAGAGGCAAGGCACACTTAGGTTAATTGGTCAACCCAACCCAACTTTGACTGATTTTGTCAGATGGGCTAGGGAAACAAGTTACAACTCCCATGGCTTTGGGCTTAAGGCAGCCTGAATTTTCAGTTAACCACCAGCTCTCCACTGTGCCCTTTTTGCACGCTGATTGGGACACAGAAGTAGCAGAGAGAGGCAGGCTTTCCTACTATATAAAGGGAGAACCCCCATCCTCTGCGTGAGGAACACCCAGACCTCCTACCTCCCGAATGATCTGCTTCCGCATCCATGGTCCATCCATCCTCAGTCCCCACGTCTGACAACTCCTCCTTCAGCACCCCATTGCTGAAGGGCACAGTACTTTGTGGCAGTGGCGAGGTGATAGCCTTGTCCCTAGAGCTTGAGTTGGTCTCTGTACAAGAGTCTTCGAGCCCTGACGTGCTGACGGAATCTGAGCACTGCCCGGAGGAGGACTCTGAAGGGACACCCTGGCTATTGTCAGACATGCAGGTGACACAGCCAGCATCTTCCACCAGGACGGTTTTGTTGTCCAACGACTCTCCGAGGGGGGCGGCTGGTGGTGGGCAGGGGGCCAGGGCGATGTGGTGCACAGAGTTCTTTGGCTTCGTGTCCTTGGTGGGGCTAGACAGAGGGCTGGTCAGGCAGCTCACGTAAGTCTTTGGTGGTGGTGGCAGGTCCTCTACTGGCAGGCCTGGCAAGGGGAAGGCAGTATCTGACTGACCCAAGGCTGACTTCAACGGGTCCAAAGCTGACTCCAATGGGTGTAAGACTGCCTTCGCTGTGGTCACCTCCATTGTGGCCTGAGTGGACTCCAAGGCATCTTGCCCAAGGGCAGTTTCCTGGCAGATTGGGGCACACCTCTCCTCCTCCTGCTCTTGGAGCTGACCGGCTGAGGCCTGATACATGCAACCTGCCATCTTGCCCACAGTGGTGACCAGCACTTCTTCAGTTGCATCCAAGATCACTTTGGAGATGATCTGGTAGGCAGCTTGCTCAATCTCTTCATTTTTATCCAAGGTCTTCTTATTTTTATCCAAGGGCTCCTCTTTGCTCAATTTTCCATCCCAAACTTGGCCACCTCGGACACAGGGTGCCAGTGTTTCATCCTCCTTGGCCTGCTCCACATGAGCCAATTCATTAAAGCTACTCATCAACTTCCCTGCTGTGTCCCCCTCTACCTGAGGTGGGCTGCTCTTCCTTTCCTCTCCCCCTCCTCCTAAGGAAGTCATGCTGGGCGCCTTGATGCTCTGTAATGCAGAGGCACGCTCCAGGGACAACACACCTTCTTCTAGCCCACTTTCTCCCAACACTGCATCGCCAGTGCCTTCAGCCCCCATTTCTCTTGCCTTCTCCACAGGGCCATGCTTCTCTGTGGGAGCTGCAGACTGACCTTGCTGGCCCCACCCTGCCTCGTTCCTGCACACCTCCGTGGCTTCGTGGGGGAACTGAATAGCCTTTGGGGATGCCAGGGCATGCTCCAGAGGAACAGGCTTGGCTTCATCACCTGTTTGGGCTGGTTCCACCATTGCACTATCATCTCTGCATGTTTCTGGTCGAACTCTCGTGTCCGTAGTGTTAGACAGGCTGCATGAGGACTCTGATCTACGACAGGCTGGATGTGACCGCAGCAAGGCCGGGGGCTCTGTGGAAGGTTTGTACACAGTGGCCAGCTCCTCTTCTGCTGGTTGTGTGACACTGGGGGGTGTGGTCACTACCACAAGACAGGTATCTTCCACAGGGGCCAGTTCCTCGATGGCAGGGCCAGCCCTCAGCTCCACAGGACTAGCCTCCCCCTGTTTGTCATGGCTACTGGCGTGTTCTTTTTTACGAGAGAAAAACCACCACCAGCCAAGGAGTGCTAGCATTCCAGGCAATGCCAAAGGGAAAAATGAACGGAATTGGATGGCCATCCTGGAGGCTTGTAGTAGTCACACCTGGGAACAGAAGGAGAAAGAGATGCCATGAGAACCAGGTATGAGGTTCCTGATGTGACTGCACAGGAAAGACAATAGACAGGCTACTGCAGAGCTGTTGGCTCTCCCTTTCCCTGCCCCTGAAGGGATCACCATCTCTTTACACCATGACTCTGGGTGAGCCACTGGAAGTGGGTGGGCAAGAAGAGACACCCTCTTCTGCTCCCTCATCCACACACACTCCCTTGAAAGCTACTGCAGAGTCTCGACTTGATCCTGCAGACAAAACAGAACCAGCATAGGTGGAAAAGGCAGACATACCAAACTGTGTTTGCAGGTGATTTGGGGAGCAAGGGAAACAGTATATGGAGCAAAAGGGACCTGGAGACCTAGGTCAGTTAGAGCCAGAAGAGGAGGAATGATCATGGCCTAGAAGAAGGCTGCAGAAGATGACAGGTATGCGGATTAGTTTAGATATATAGTAAGTGCTTTGTAGAGCAGAGTGAGCTCTCATTAGAGGTATGTAACAGACTTATTGAGAATGCTTGCATTCAGTGCCTCCCATGCCAGCAAATTTTATTCTGTATGCAAAAATTTTAAGTCTTCTTAAACTCTCAAATCCTTCATTGATATGGTGAATTACACCTTAATTTGGATTTGTGCTTAATTGTAAATGCTTTACCAACTCTTACTGGTTGTATCTACTTATCTAAATGTTTTCTGGCAAAAGCAGAGCATACAGCTCCCCAAGTGAGCCTGATGATCAGCAGAGGCTGGAAATACCGCTCCAGGACTTTGCATCTCAGAGCACAGTCTAGACCAGAAGCATTGAGCATAACCAGGGAACCTACTGGAAATACAGTATCTCAGTCCCTTTCTGACCCACAGTACCGCAAGCTGCATAACAAGCCTCCAAGAAGATTTACAAGCACGTTTGAAAAGGTGATAAAAAAAAGTGTTTCTCTAAATTATAGGGGTAGGCAGGTCATCTCCAGAAAGTCCCTTATCTTTAAGGATAAACCTTCCTGCTAATATGTGAAGGTGAAGCAATGAGACTGGAAAGTACAAAGCACAAGCCTCAGTTCAGAAGGCACTGTATTATACCCTCCAGGTGAAAAGCTTCAATAATGCTGTCTAACAGCTTAATATTCAAATGAGGAACCTCACTTATCTAATCACCTAATCTTCAACCACCTGGTTTGGAATATATTACCATCTTACAGGTTTAAAGAACTCAAGGTTATACAGTTAAGAAAATGGGACTCAGGTTCTTCTCCACATTAAATCCAGAATCCACTGATTAATGGATCTGTGGTGATAAGACATTTTATGCGCCAAGGAAAGGGGAAGTTTGTACTGCTCTTAAAACTTTATGACCGTACCCTAAGACCCCCAAATTCTCACACTTGAAATATTTTCTTAAAAAAAAAAAAAATTAGCCCAAACCAGTTTGGCTCAATGGATAGAGTGCCTGCGGACTGAAAGGTCCCAGGTTTGATTCCAGTCAAGGGCATGTACCTTAGTTGTGAGCACATCCCCAGTGAAGGATGTGCAAGAGGCAGCTTATGGATGATTCTCTCTCATCAATGTTTCTAACTCTCTATCTCTCTCTTCCTCTCTGTAAAAAAAAAAAATCAATAAAATATATATATTTTTTAAAATTAAAAATCTGTATAGGCAGAAGTCTGTGTTAGGAATATTCACCGGAGTATTATTTGAAGAAAAAAAAAAACTCATAGAAAAAATTGCTAAATATATTGTAGAATCTAGGGACAAATCATTGTTAGAGAAGGAAGCTGACTTTGTGTACTGACTTGGAAAAACTGCTGTGATGCCAAAAATAAAAGCTGTAGACTACCATGTGCGTGTGAGGTCTGTGTCCATATAATCATCCCATGCAAAAAAAAAAAAAACTGGGATTCTATTGAAAATGGATAGTCTTCCTTCTTTTTTGAAGAGGTTAGTTTTTTTTTGTTTTTTTGTTTTGTTTTGTTTTTTAATAATTTCTCAGTGGTTCTCCAATTTAGCTGCCCATTAGCACCACTTGGGATGCTTTTAAAATCCCAAGATGGCACCCAAATCAATTAAATCAGAATCTCTGAGGGAAAGATCCAGGCACCAAGTTTGTTAACCGAGGTGACTCCAACATGCAGCCAAGTTGGAAAATCACTGTTTTATAACAACTTGCACACACCCAAAAAGTGTTAGATTATGGAATATTTGCTTTGTATCTGTTGTTCATATAAAAATAAATATTTAAGAAGGAAAAGAGGCTATGGGGGAAGGGTGCTCTCAGGAGAAAGTAGTATACAGGAGATATAGCCTATTGTCGGGAGATTAAGTCCCACCCAACAGGTCACATGCAACAGGAAGTAGGACTGGGGTCTGAACTCAGATTTTCTTCTTGTCAGTAAATTTAAATATCTGATTCCTTATTAACTAGACAATCTTATTTCAGCAGGCTGTATACTTATGAATCCCATAGAGTTCTAGCAATTCTCTGATCTCAGAAAAAAAGATTAAATGGAAAGGGGCAGACAGGAAGAAGAATCCAATGTCTTAACAACCCATAGGTGGCAGTCTCCCATTTTATACAGGAAGGCCCAAGGCCATAAACTGAAATTGGGGTGTGTGTAAGGGAGGCAATTGTAATCCAAGACACAGACTGCCTCTCAAAACACTGGGATATACCCCCACACACATACATTGGAACTAAAAGTTGAACCAAGGTGTCCAGCAGTTGATCCACCCCACCACTGGAGATTGAAGAAACTGGCTGTAAGGCATAAATACATTACAGCCTGGCTTTGGTCCTGAATCCCAGGAGACCAATACCGCATTCCAGACAGACCCTGGCCTGCCACGTCACTGGCCTCAGACCACTTCATGTGTTCTGCTCCTAATCCTGATTCACACTCAACACAGAACCAGCCGCCTGGGGCCACTATACATACTTCCTGCCTGCTGCTCTGTAGCTCAGAGACACCGCTACCACTCACCCACCTACTCCTCCCTGCCCAGCTTGTTCCTAGAGACTGCGGCTCTAAGCCCCCAGACCTACCCTTGCTAACAGGCAGCTATAGCTACTCTGCTAATTACAGCCTAGGAAACTTTCTGTACCATTTCCAAGCCAGACACCCCTGTTATTGTGCCAGGAGGGCCTCCTAGAAAGCATTTAATACTGCTATCCTAGTGCCATGTTGCCCAACCCACAGATTTCTGACAAGGTCCTACATGGGTCCCCAGTGCCCACCATTCACATGCTGGACTAGAGCTGAGAGACCTTCCCTCTGCTGAGGAACCACAAGCCAGTTGCCACCCTTCTTCCAGGCAAAGCCCTTCTCTCCACGACTGCCTCTAGGGACAGAAACTGCCCAGGAAAGGAACTGAAGTACTCTGGGCACTTGAGATAAGAGGTAAGAGATCCAGGAGGGGATGAAATGGTTTATTTTTCCCTTGCCACTAGGGGATTGTGATTAGATATGAGCTTCTCCACCAAACACAGAGCCAAGAGCCCTTGGAATAAGGGTGATGTGAGAGCCTCATTGAGTTTCACTGAAGGCACCTCACAGGGAGCTCCTGGTGACTGAAGCCCTACTTCCTGCCAGTCAAATAAAGTCCCTCACTTCCTTACCTCCTCCCCCCCTTCAGTTCCTAGAGTCCTATCCTAGCCAATCTCACCTCACTCAAACAGACTTCTCTGATTGGTAAGGTGCCATTTTCCTTGAGTTAAGTGAACACTGAGTCCTGGACTTGTGGTGCAGGATGTACCAACCTTTCCTGAATTCTCAGACAGGGCTGCCCCATGTGCACGCACACGTTTCAGCCGAACGAGGCTCTCTGGTACCTTCCTTCCCGAAAAGACTCTTGAATTCCTCTCTGCCCTCTCTCTTTTTTAAACCTGTACTTCTCAAAAATGTAAGTGGCATTTAAAAGAAAGAATCTAAAAGCCTTCACACTCACAAGTAAACTGAATGAAGGTGACTGCCTCCCTCCCCCACTCCGGAGGCCCAGGCCTCTCAAGAAGGCCGGCCCCCAGTCAGGGAAAAGGATGCAGAGCCTGCGCTTATGGTTGGTGGGGAGGAGACTTGGCTAGTTTGAATCTGATGGAATGAAATAGCTGCCTGCTTATTTTTAGCAGGCCCATTTGCCCGCAAATAGATGCACACTGGCTGGCTGCCCAGTGGTCACACAGAGCTGAGGACAGGCACGTGTCACAGCCCCATAAGACCTTAGTGCCCACCTACTCACTCCAGGTTCTGAAAGGATTCCTTCTTTCTCCCTGAGGAACCTGCAGCTTCTCAAAACAGCTTACCTCTGGAGAAGTAATTGCTTCACTCCCAACCCCAATGACCAGCTGGGGCATTGCAATCTAGGGCCTTCTATTAAACAAGAAAACAAACCTCTGGGAATGGTACAAAGAGTGTTGGTTTCAGTGAGTCAGCCTATTTGTCTGCAGCTATTATGGAAAAAAAAAAAAAAAAGCTGCAAGTAATTAATCAATGGGAAAGTCTATCATAAAAATAAGAACTTGGTACAAAGAGTCTCATAAGTCCAGTCTGAGCTTGGGCCTGGTCAGTGAAGTTACACCCATTGTGTGTTCTAAATGGACTTTTACACAGGGGTGGGCAAAGGTAAGCTTGCATAGAAAATAATACAATAATAAATGAATAATAACACAAGAATAAGCTCTGTGTTTTGCATACTCACAAGTGTAAACCTACTTTTGCCAACCTCATCTGGTTGAAACTCAAACATTTCTTCCATTATTCCAGGGTTATGTGTTCACCAACAAAAGGAAGCTCAAGACATTCCATCTCCTGAGAGCTTCTTGCCTATGGAGGTAGGCGCTTTTCCCCTTGAAGGGGGTCTTCTAAAGACAAGGAATGAGCCAGAACCTGAAGCACAGCACTTGCTGCCACTGCATTGTGAGAATAACATCAGGCTATGGACCAGACCAAGGCTCCTCCATCCCTTCCCACGCCCCTAATACCATG